TTTTATTTAAAATTGTGTTCTGTTATAAACGAAATGGTTGTTGCACATACCACAGTTATTTTGATATTTGTCTGAATCTTAAATACCCAAATTGAGAAGGAGTTTTGGTTACATACATGCTACGTCCATTACAGTAAGGAAATGTACCTATGAGCATACAGGAGTTTTTTCAAGCAAAACCTGTCAACCAATCCTAAGTCCACGTGCTTCCCCCCCCCCCCCATTCTGTCAAATTTTTAAACACTATATCTACTGATAAGTTCGAAATTCTAATGTCATTGTCATCAGACTACGAGCTTCTGGTCAAAGAAAGTTTATATATCTGAAAGAAACATCCACGTCTAAATAATAACCTTAGTTCCTTTTAGCTCTTCTTGTTTTGATGTATTCGTTTAATTAAATCTTAAACTTTGTAAAATTCACTTACTTCCTCGCCCAGTATATTTTGTTCATAATCAAAATTGTACTATTTGTTGATGCTTGTATATGTTGTACGAAATCATTTTAAACTGCTGATTCTGAAACGTCCAAAGGTTAAACAAATTGCTTTCTTTTACCTTGGCGATTCTGTTCTTAATTAAACTTCTTTATCCGGCTAGTGAATCTGTTATGTATTGTGTACTATAGTATAAACTCTAATCCTGTAACTACAAGATTACGTATTGTGTATTATAGCTTCGACTTAAGTCCTGTAAGTACAATATAGCGTATTGTGTACTATAGTTTCAACTCAAATTCTGTAACTACAAGGTTACGTGTTGTGTACTATAGCTTCAACTCAAGTCCTGCAAGTGGAATATAACGTACTGTGTACTATCGATTCAACTCAAATCCTGCAACTACAAGGTTATGTATTGTATAATAGAGATTCAACTCAAATCCTGTAACTAGAAGGTTATCTATTGTGCATTATCGGGTCAACTCAAATCCTGTAACTACAAGATTGTCTATTATGTATTATAGATTCAACTCAACTCCTGTAACTACAAGGTTATGTATTGTGTAATATAGCTTCAACTCAAATTCTGTAACTACAAGATTACGTGTTGTGTAATATAGCTTCAACTAAATCCTGTAACAACCAAATTTTATGTTGTGTATTATAGCTTCAACTCAAATCCTGTAACTACAGGATTACGTATTGTGTACTATAGTTTCAGCTGAAATCCTATAACTACAAGATTACGTGTTGTGTAATATAGCTTCAACTCAAATCCTGTAACTACAATATAACGTATTGTGTACTATAGTTTCAACTCAATCTTGTAACTACAAGGTTATGTATTGTGTAATATAGATTCAACTAAAATTCTGTAACTACAAGGTTATGTATTGTGTAATACAGCTTCAACTCAATTGCATATTGTATAATATAGCTTCAACTAAATCCTGTAACAGCCAAAATTTATGTTGTGTATTATAGCTTCAACTAATTCCTATTTCACAATCAAGCTATAAACAGAGGTTTTGTTAGAATTATAAAATGTCATCAGATTAATTGAGATCAAACTTAATCGTGACCTGTCGTTTTAATCCCACCCCCTCGCTAGCTCAGTGGTAAGTTTGAGGGCTTATAACACCAATATTCGGGTTTAGATAGCCTCGGTTGGCTCAGCACAGATATCCTTTGTTTAGCGTTGCCTATAAAAAGAAACAAACAAATTTACTTTTTTATTTTATAGCTTTTTAACTGATGTAGCCTCTTGTTATTTTGACTAATTTTCTATCTCGTATAATATTTTCGCAAAATTCCAAATAATCTGAATCAGTAAATTCTATGATAAAAGAAACATCTTTTTTTAAAGCATCAATGTACATCATACATAAGATGAAAATAAATATTTCATAGCAATGTTTATTTATTATTTGTAAGAAATACAGAACACAAAGGAAATGATCAAACAACCAATGCCGATTCTTCAAGTTTTCGTTTTATTTTCGACGGTTTCCATTATTTTCTCTTGGCGTATGTTTTATCCTCCTGTAATCGTGAAGTATGGAAGTATGAAACTGGATCCTAAAAGATTTTTACCATGCGCAAAGGAATGTCTCGTTACCTCGTGGTGTTCATGTTTCAGGTGAGTATCCGATATATTCTTAATACTTAAGAGGGAACGTCTTGCTACCTAGTGGTGTTCATGTTTCAGGTGAGTATCCGATATATTCTTAATACTTAAGAGGGAACGTCTTGCTACCTAGTGGTGTTCATGTTTCAGGTGAGTATCCGATATATTCTTAATACTTAAAAGGGAACGTCTTGCTACCTGGTGGTGTTCATATTCCAGATAAGTATCCAATACATTCTTAATACTTTCAAGAGAATGTTTAGCTACCTTGTAGTGGTCATGTTTTAGGTAACTATTCAATATATGTTCTTAACATTTGCAAGGGTACTGATATTTATTTCATGGTATTTCAGTTTAAAGGAGCTAAGTTCCACAATATTAGTTTCTTCAGTTCAGGTATTTGAAATATTTTATTTTTACATTTCCTTTTTAAAAGTATTTTATTTTTACATATCCTTATTAAAAGTATTTTTATTTTTACATTTCCTTTTTTAAAGTATCTATTTTTACATTCCTTTTTTAAAATATTTTACTTTTACATTTCCTTTTTTAAAATATTTTATTTTTACATATCCTTATTAAAAGTATTTCTACTCTTACATTTCCTTTTTTTAAGTATTTATATTTCTTTTTTAAAATGTTATATTTTTACATTTCCTTATTAAAAGTATTTTTATTTTTACATTTCCTTTTTTTAATTATTTATATTTATATTTCTTTTTTTAAATATTATATTTTTATTTTCCTTTTTTAAAAGTATTTATTTTTACATTTCCTTTTTAAAATATTATGTTTACATTTACTTCTATTGACGAGACAGGTCATCCAATTAAAATAATTGTCTTGTTTTCGTTAATAAGTTTAGTCAGAGCTTTGGAATTAATCGTTATTACTTATATCTTAAAGAAAGTAAAGGTTTATGAACCTTCGTTAGCTTCAACTTCTTCTTTATTATATTGTTAATATCACATACATCCGCTTCATCTCAATAACTTTCGTCTCTGGAATTTCTTTTTCGTAAACATAGACTTCACATTGTCTTGGGGAGTGTTGCTGTCTAACTTGTTCCGCTGTTCGAGATTTCCACATTAACTACTAATTTTTTTCTTTTTTTAAGTGTTGTTTAAGTGGATAGTGTTTTTCGGAATGTATATTTGTTTTTATTTCTCCAGCCATAAGTAAACTTCCAGTGGCATTTCAGAGTTCAGTTGTTGAAAGTTTTCCATGAACCAGATATCTAAATACAAAACATTTTACTCTTGTCACCAGGGTTCGCATTGTGACGATAAGCCACTTCAATTGGGATATGCAAAATGTCCTTAAAAGGTTCGCTCAACTCTCCGTAGTAATAACCAAACCACTTATTTTGAATGAAAATGATTACCTTAATATGAGATTTTTTGTTTGTTTGTTTTTAATTTCGCGCAAAGCTACACGAGGGCTATCTGCACTAGCCGTCCCTAATTTAGCAGTGTAAGACTAGAGGGAAGGCAGCTAGTCATCACCACCCACCGCCAACTCTTGGGCTACTCTTTTACCAACGAATAGTGGGATTGACCGTCACATTATATCGCCCCAACGGCTGAAAGGGCGAGCATGTTTGGCGGGACTGGAATTTTAACCCTTAATATGAGAAGAAAGTGCTTAAGTTGTTAAAATAAATAAATATTCAACATTAAAAGAAAAGCTACAGAGAGAATTATTACATCTAAAGAAAGAAATTGCAAAGACTTTATAAAGAATTTAGACATGTAATCTTCCGAGATTCTAGAAAATGTACAGAATAAAACATAATTTGTTTCGGTACAGAACAGTCTCGAATAGTCACACTTATTACGATATTTTGTCATTTTCGTTATTTAAATTCCTTAAAATTAGGCAAGTGGTGAATTCAGTTTTGAGTTTTTCACGTCAGTGCATAATTTGAAGTTTTGCGATGATGTGTAAAGAGCTAGTTCTGATGTTTACTCTCTTGATGATGTGTAAAGGTCTAGTTATAATTTTGAATCTCTTGGTGATGTGTAAAGAACTAGTTATGATGTTTACTCTCTTGGTGATGCGTAAAGAGCTAGTTCTGATGTTTACTCTCTTGATGATGTGTAAAGGTCTAGTTATGATTTTGAATCTCCTGGTGATGTGTAAAGGTCTAGTTCTGATGTTTACTCTCTTGGTGATGTGTAAAGAGCTAGTTCTGATGTTTACTCTCTTGATGATGTGTAAAGGTCTAGTTATGATTTTGAATCTCCTGGTGATGTGTAAAGGTCTAGTTATGATTTTGAATCTCTTGATGATGTGTAAAGAACTAGTTATGATGTTTACACTCTTGGTGATGCGTAAAGAGCTAGTTGAATCTCTTGATGACGTGTAAAGAACTAGTTCTGATGTTTACTCTCTTTACTCTTAAATAACTTTACAAGATGCTACGGAGTAAAATTTGTTGTCAATATTTACTTCTTCAAAAACATGTGTTTTCCAAATTGATTTCTTTTGCAATTACAGGTCATGCTTCTAAGGTAAATAGTATGGTTTTATTTATGGTAAAATTCATGGGGACAAAATGAGATCACAGCTATTACACATTACGTTTGAGAATTGTCTGGTTTTTTTAAAAACATTATACTATAGCTGTTGGAGAAACAAACCTGTCACGAACACAACAGTACTTGTGTGACATAAGATACTTATCATATTTTGGTGATCCCAGCTGCTGATTTACATTAACATTATCCTGTTCTGTAAAAACAATATCTATATGATATATTTCTCCTATTTTGGACTTTCTATACTTAAGAAATATTTCCTATTCTAAAAAACACTAGAACCTATCAGACATAAGACAAGTTCTCCTGTTCTAAAGAAACAGACATGTGTTCTACATGAGACCTCTCTTGTTTTCTGGACACGCCAACACGTAACACCCAAAAAAGTTGAATATCACTTCTGACAAAAAGTGAAATTAAAAGAAATATCTTTGTATATTTACTCTTAGTAATGCCTACGTAGAAACTAACGGACATCTACACTGTCATTTATACAAGGACCAGCAGCCTTCCGAGGGAGAGAACTTTTTTTCAATTGTGAGTAAAGATTTCTAGTTATTAACGGAAATGGTATTTGAATTTTAATAATACACACACAATAATATAATAGAAATACAGGAGAGTGGTATCTCCCTTTCTTTATTTGACAATATATTCAACAAAATTATTTGAAACAATATTGCTCAATAAGATTTGATCACACGTAAACAATAGTTCGCTGCCCGGCATGTCCAGGTGGTTAGGGCGCTCGACTCGTAATCTGAGAGTCGCGGGTTCGAATCCCCGTCACACCAAACATGCCAACCTCCGCCTTTACCTGGTCCCAAGTCCAGGATGAGAAAGGAGGAGGGTTGGGCGCGTGGCTAGTAACTCCACCCCGTAAAAACCAACCTGCTACAAGTAACTGTAACAACACCTTCCGTTGGCGAGGTGTTGTTACGGCCCTATGCTCCACTGGGAGTTTACAGGAATAACAAAAAAAAGACAACAAAAAAACAATAGTTCTCTACCGATTAAGATAATGTATAAAAACAGTATGTTTTTACGTTTTGCCTCATATTAACAGATATATATTTTTTCTTTGTACATAAAAGTGTTTGCTCTCTTTAACGATAATACATGGAACAGTAGTTTTCGGCATTTAAACGTTACATAGAAAAATGATCATATTTCCACAATAAATGAAGTACTATCTTAACAGTATTTCAAAACATTATATTATTTCTACAATATAGGACAGAATGTTGTCTAGTGTTTCAACAGTATTTCAAAGAATTTCATTATTTCAGCAACATATGACATAATATTTTGTTATATTTAACAATATTTCAAAAAATTGTTTTGTTTCGACAACATATGATACATTTTCTCTAGTGTTTCAATAATATGTCAAAAAATTGCATGGTTTCAGCAACACATGACAGTATGTTTTTGGTTAACAATATTTCAAACACTGTACTATTTCGACACCATGTAACACAGTGTTCTTCTATATTTTAACAGTTTGCAAAATACTACATTGTTTCGACAATATGTGACACAATGTTATTTAGTGTTTTAAAAATATCTCGAAACATTGTTTCAGCAACATATGACACAATATTCTTTTGTGTTTTAACAATACTTCGAAATATTGTATTGTTTCGACATAATATAGCAGTGTTTTTTCTGTATATAAAAAAAAAACCTTGCTGCAGAATCATTGTAAGGAAATAAGAAGTAGGGAATGATGGAAGTAGAAAACAGTGTTACGTTCTGATTACGCCGAACTTAATCATTGTTCCCACTGTAAATAATTTCCTACATCTGAACAATGCATGATGTTGGAAGAGCTGATACAATAAAAACATGAGAGTATATTTTTGCCCAGATCATTTCTCTAACAAACGGTTACTCTAAGTTCATAACGTACTGATATATGTAACTATGTTTAGGGTTAAGCACTACTTGTAGATATTTCTATTGTTTCTTTTATCATAATCCTCTATTAATTTAAACACAAAATTAATTTGCATGTTATCACCTTATTAACAAAATATATAGCAATATTATATATATATATATTATTTTTTTCACATATAAAGGTCAGTTTGGACGCCACAAAAAGTAAGTATTCTGAACAGGTACGATCTACTGTATGAAGATCACTTTATGTATAAACAAAGGTAAGTATTTTGAATAGACACGATCTGTTGTAGGAAGATCACTTTGGATGTAACCAGAGATAAGTATCCTGAATGGAGACGATCTGTTGTTTGAAAATAACTTTGGATGTAACAAGAGGTTAGTATCCTTTATAGAAGCGATCTATTATAGGAAGGTCGCTTTGGATGTAATCTGAGGTAGTATCATGAATGGCCAAGTTCTGCCGTATCATCAATGTTTGGACGTAACCATAGGGATAAAAGTATTCTATAGTGGACAAAGTCATTTGCTGAACTAATTAGGAGCGTCCCAATACAGCTGCCATCTTACGGAGGGAAACGTTTGTAGGTCAGCAATGTAAACAACGGGCTGTTACTTGTTTCTTGTCCAGTTTCATCAGCATATATTAAATTAGAAAAATAATCAGAGCATCGTAATTGTTACGACAGCGGAATGCGTGACTGAATTTCTCGAGTTATCGGGGAACTCCGCGAACTTTGGAGAAGCCTCTTTGTTAATATATAAGCCTGGCGAGAAAAGCCAACGGAGTTAAGTGAACAGTAGTCACGGTGAGGTTCGGGTAACTTACGATTCTGTTTTGAGCTAGTGTGTGTTTTGAACTCGCA